AGATTTGGGCGTTCTCGTCTTTTCGTTTTCCCGACGCTCCAAGACGGCCTAAGAGGACCCAAAAGTAGCTCCAGAATGGCCCAAGACGTCTACAAGAAGGCCCATACATTGCCTATGAGGGCTCCAAGACAGCCCAGCAGGCCTCCAAGACGTCCCATCAAGCCCTCAAAACAACTCCAGGAGGGGGCCCAGACGGGGGACACGAACTGACATTTCGACACCTCCGCTTCGAGAGGACCCCTAGAGTCCCCAGGAGGCCCCCAGGAGGCCCCCAAGAGGCCCCCAGAGGCACCAAGATGCCCCCAGAAATCCCCAAGAGGCCCCCAAGAGGCTCCCATGAGGCCCTCAAGAGGCCCCCAGGACGCCTCAGAACTGCCCCCCCTAAGGCCACCGAGAGCGCTCCGAATAGACACCAAGAAGCATCCCTGAGGACTCTGACCCACAAGCATGCCAGAGACCGACAGGCCAAAGTCCGCCAAGCCCCGATGTATCAAGGGCTTGAACGCGTTCAATATCCTCTGCTGCGCCACGCTGAAGCCTCCACGAAAGCCCGAGGAGCATCCCAAGACCCTCCCAAGAAATGCCAATGTACCCTCAAGGAGCCCCCAGGACCCCCGCAGAGGACCCCCGACGATCGAAGAAGAACCTCCAAGCCAGGGACTACAAAAAAGGATCAGCGGTTGTGGCGCACGCAAGCCAGTAGAATCCACGTCCCGAGGTGACGTGCTGAGCGGCAGCGTTTTTCGGCGAACGCCCTCATGCGACGAATCCAATGTACACAATGATTGCGCTCTTGAATCAGATTGCATTCTATTACGTTAATATGTCTCCCCCATAACCCCCCCATGGAGTCGCGCCACATGTGCGTCCCAAACTGACAACCCTCATTCTGGGGCTGCAGCAACTTACCAAAACGTATGGAACATTGATAAGATCTGCATCTTGGACCTCCTGGGCACCAACAGGGGACTCAAGACAGCTCACGATTGCCTCGAGACGGGCCAAGACGGCCCCAAGACCGCCCAAGATGGCACCCCAGGGCCCCAAGACGGCCCCACAGGGCCCCACAGGGCCCCACAGGGGCACCTCCAGAGGCCAAAAACGATGATGTCCATAGGTTTGGAGGATGTTAGCGTTCTCGCCCTTTTCGGCTCTCGGGGGCCCCTGACGGCCAAAAAGCCTCAGAGGCCCCGAAGAGGACCCCGAAACGGCCCAAGAGGGCCCCAAGAGGGCCCATGAGGCCCTGAACAACTCAAGAGAATCCCAAGGGGGCCCCCGAGAGCGCCTTCAGAGGCCAAAATCAGTGGCTTCCCGTAAGTTGTTGGAGAGATTCTGGCGTTCTGATTATCATTTCTCCACACTCAAAAACCCATGGCGGCCCAAGATGGTCCCAAGACGGCCAAAGAAGCCCCCAAGAGGGCTCCAATACGGCTCAAGAGGGCACCAGGACGTCCCGAAGGTCCCCAAGACGGTCCAACAGGCCCGCAAGACGGCCCAAGAGGACCCCAAGAGAGCTCCAGGGCGGCCGCGTGAGGCCCCCAGAACGGCCTCCGAAGGGGCCAAACGGCTCATGAGCGCCAAAGGACGGCCCACGACGCACCCAAGACCCCCAAAGGGACCTCCAAGAGCCCCCAAAGAAGCTCCCGCCAGGCCCCCCGCAACGACTGGACTGTTCGTGCTCCGGACGTGCACCCCGCGAAGCGAGAGGAATCACAAAGCGTTCGCGCTCCCGAGGCAGCAATCCCTCGTGCAAAATACACAAACTACACACTTGCCTTCCCGAGGCCACAGCCTCTCGTAGATAACTCCCGGGGCCACAATACCTCTTGAATTGCAGCAGGCTCGCGCTCACGAGGCAACAATCCCTTGCAAACCACTGCGCGTCCGCGCTTCAGAGACAACGAAGCCAGCCCACGGAGGCTGCCCAAAGGCGACACCCTGAAACTTCTAGAATCCTGCTCTGGCCCCGAGGCTACGGATCGAATCTTCAAGAGCAGACAGGGATGCGTGCGCGGCCTCGAAACCGCGAACCCTCAAGAATCACAAAAAACGCGCCGCTCCCAGGGCCACCGCTACAGATGCGCGCAGCCGGTTGCCAGCCAGCCACCCAACAAGACGTGTGAGCGTTTCTTCATTCGGCGTTTCGACATTGGGCGGAAAGGGGGGGAGGGGGTGTCTGGCTCTGGACCTCTGCTTAGTGCGACTGTTTGCGACAGTGCGTCCTATGGGGGAGGGACCCCACCCGCTCGAAACAGCCGCCCAAAAACAGCCAAGATCCACTCCAGGGGGGGGGTCCGAGGGCCCGCGCCGATCGGCAAAGCAATTAATGACATTACACATGAGAAAACCCCAATCAGTGGATGATTTGAACATTAATACTATGGATCTTGAGATCGCTTGTGAGATCGATAATGAGATCGATGGTGGAATCGATAGTGAGGACGATTGTAAGGTCGATCGTGAGACCGAGAGTGAAATGGATTCAATGAGATCGATAGTAAGATCGATCGCGAGATCGCTCATGCGATCTCTAATGAGATCGCTTGTGAGATCGATAATAAAATCTTTTGTGAGATCGATGGTGAGATCGATAGAGATGTGGGTAATGAGATCGATGGTGAGACCGATTGATAAGAAAATCGACCAGGAACCCGGGAACTCAAGAACCTCGCCGCCCTCCGAAATCGGCCCAGAACCCGGAACCGGGAACCCGGGAACCCAGAACCGGGAACCCAGGAACCCAGCCAGCAACCAAAATCAGCGGGAAACTTTCGCCAGATCCTTCAACATCCGCGAGGACCCCTTCAGTGCAAGCACTGATTGGAGAAAAACGATCACCTGGTGGGCACGTGTTCCACCACAACTGCCATGTATAGAACGGGGGAGAAGGGAGGATGAGGTCCTCCTCCTCCTCCTCCTCCTCCTCCTCCTCCTCCCCCTCCTCCTCCTCCTCCCCCTCCTGGTCGTCCGTCTTTCAGGGTCGGCGGCACCGGCCGTCAGGCCTTCACAATAAGGGACGAAGCTCCTGTTTCCAAGGAGTAACGCAGAAGGAACGATACATAATAAATCACACAAAAGGAACGATAAATAGCGCATGCGAACCCTAGAAACGACCGAGTCCCTTAGAAAAGTAGGTGTTCCTGATTCAAACCGCGCACTGTAGTCGAAGAACACCTGGGTGTAAAGCATCCCCAGGTGTGGCAAGCCAGACTTCCCCACACTGCCTCGACGGAGGTGTTGCAGAAGAATGTGCATCAGCCATGTCAGCTTGGTGGTAGGGTAGGAAGTCGGCATCATGAAACCATCATCCATATACCCGAATCGATTTGAAGGCATCCACGCATGTTGGGAATGGATTTGCAAACGCAGCAGACCACGTAAAAGAGTAAATAAGAAACTACGCCAAGGCGTTGCTCGTGTATGGTTACATCGGTGGCATCTCGCCAGAGACGGGCCTCAGAATAGTAAGGATCTGCTGGTCATCAACGCGCCATCAGAAACTTACCAGGAATCACAATGTATCTTCACCGGCTCCGAACAGATTTGCAACGCGCAACTCTCTCCTCGACCGGATCTCGCTGTCATGCAGTACAGTCCAAGACATGAGCCCGCACGGATCAGATGATCCCATCTTGATCTCCACTTCTAGCGCCGCTGCGTCGTGGTGGGCCTTCACTTGCTTGGAACGGGTCGGGGAAATCAGCGCGGTGAACTTCGAGCAACCGTACTTACCGCAGCGGCGGGCCAAACTGGAGCTAGTCGCAGCAATTAGCCTGGCGAAGAACCCAACCATCTACAATTGTGAATACCGCAGTTGTGGGTATCGTCTTCCGTGAGGCTCCCTCTGAGGCCACGAAACGCTGTACTGGGTGGGAGAACCGCATGCGGACTGCGCCACTGGAACCTTCGGTGGACCAACCTATGGGGCCACGAAACGCTGTAATGGGTGGGAAAACCGCATGCGGACTGCGCCACGGGGACATTCGGTGGAGCTCCCTCTGGGGCTACGAAGCGCTGTACTGGGTGGGGGAACCGCATGCGGACTGCGCCACTGGAACCTTCGGTGGACCTACCTATGGGGCCAAGCAACGCTGTACTGGGCGCAAGAACCACATGCGAGTTACGCCACTGGGACCTTCGGTGGGGCTCCCTCTTGGGCCACGAAGCGCTGTACTGGATGGGGGAACCGCATGCGGACTGCGCCACTGGGACCTTCGGTGGAGCTCCCCATGGGGCCACGAAGCGCTGCACTGGGTGGGAAAACCGCGTGCAGACTGCGCCTGTGTGACCTTCGGTGGAGCATCCTCTGGGACCACGAAGCGCTGTACTGGGCGTGGGAACCGCAAGCGGACTGCCGCCACTGGAACCTTCGGTGGAGCTCACTCTGGGGCCACGAAGCGCTGTACTGGGTGGGGGAGCCACATGCGGACTGCGCCACTGGGACCTTCGGTGGAGCTCCCTCTGGGGCCACGAAGCGCTGTACTGGGTGGGGGAACTGGGAGCCACATGCGGACTGCGCCACTGGGACCTTCGGTGGAGCTCCCCATGGGGCCACGAAGCGCTGTACTGGGCGGGGGAACTGCATGCGGACTGCGCCACTGGAACCTTCGGTGGAGCCCCCTATGGGGCCACGAAACGCTGTACTGGGCGGGGGGACCGCATGCGGACTGCGCCACTGGGGTCGTCGTTTGAGCCCCTTATGGGGCCACGAAACGCTGTACTGGACGGGGGAGCCGCATGCGCACTGCGGAGGAGGGAGGAGGGACAAAAAGCAGGGAGAGGAGGAGGAGGAGAGGAAGGAGGAGACGCGGGGCGCTCTCTTCAAAACGAGGACCCAGCACCACAGGATGGTTGGGACAAAGAAACTCCTTGCAGCCCAAGGCAAACGACCAGAGGAAAATGACTCCGTCTTGCAATGAATTCTGACACTGCGGGATGGACAGGAGGTGCCCGAGGAGCGAGAAGGAGAGAGAGCGGAGAGCCCCCCCCCAAAGTAAAGAGAGCGTGCCTGGGTCGACGGGCTCGCCGAACAGCTCCTCGCCGAGGTCCTCCAGCGCCCCTGCTCCGCCGCCTGGTGATAAGTCGGGCCTGTCCCCCTCCAGGAGGAAGACTCAAAAATAGTCAAAAGATAGTCTGGTGACGACTGTTCTATTACTTTTCGACTATGTTTGAGCATGTTTGGACAATGTTAGATTTTTCGCACGAGGTCCGCCTGTAGGGGGACATGCCCGACCTGACGCCGCCTCCGTGCCGCACCTCTCCTCTGCAGAGAGCCCCCTGCGAGGGGCGCCGACGAAGCCGTCGGCTCCTCGACGGCTCGAGCACCTCTGGAACGTCGACGGCCCAGACCCTCCTCTGGCGCCCCTGCCCCGTCGATGGAGGCCGCCTCGATGGGGCCGGAACAGGTGGGGCAAGGCTCGACCTGAGTAGCGTTTTCCGTTTCCGTTGTGCTTTCGATGTTCCCTCGCTCGGGCTTCGCTCCGCCTCCGATGCAGGACGGCGCCACAGCGAAGGCCGTCCACGAGATCGCGAAAACGCCGCCTGGCTCGAGCCCAGAGATGGGGTTGGGGGAGCGCGCGACATCGCCAGTGTGCAGACCTCGACACCCGACGCCTGCACCACGAAGGGCGCCGCGCCCCCTGGCGCTGCCCCCGCCCGCCGCGGACGGGTAGAGCTACGTGCTGCGGGGCGCCGTCAGCAGCCATCGCTCGTTGGTCCGCCCGAGCCCGACGCCGTCGGGGGCTGGCAGGGCGCATGAAACTGACTGGAGCTCTTCTCCGTTCCACGACCTCCCTCCTCCCCCTCCTCCTCCTCCTCCTCCTCCTCCTCCTCCTCCTCCTCCTCATCATCATCATCATCATCATCATCATCATCATCATCATCAGCATCATCATCATCATCATCATCATCATCATCATCATCACCATCACCATCATCATCATTAGCAGCAGCAGCATCATCATCATCATCATCACCAGCATCAGCATCATCATCAGCATCCTCATCCTCATCCTCATCCCCATCCTCATCCTCCTCCTCATCCTCCTCCTCATCATCATCATATTCTTCTTATTATTATTCTTCTTCAGCATCATCATCATCATCATCATCAGCAGCATCATCATCATCATCATCATCATATTCATCATCATCATAATCATCATCATCATCTTCATCATCAGCATCATCATCATCATCATCATCATCATCATCATCACCATCAACATCATCATCATTCCCCCTCCTCCGCACCGCTCTCTTCGTCCTCGTCCTTTTCCTGCTCCCCCCCCTCCATTTCCTCCCGTTGTTCCTCCTCCCTCTTCCTCGCTTTCCTTTTCCTATTCCTCGCACTCATCCTTTTGTCACTCCTGACCGTGCCGTTCTCGACATTATCCTTCGTTCACTTGTTAAATCATTCCTCCTCCTCCTCCTCCTCCTCCTCCTCCTCCTCCTCCTCCTCCTCCTCCTCCTCTTGGGTACCTTTTCCTCCTCTGACATTGGGCCCGCACTAAAGGTCACCCACGTGTAGCCAAAGATAGCGCGCATCGGTCGGCGTCGATCGATGCTGGATTTGAACGCCCGCGTAGGGGTCGCCCGCCGTGTCGGCCCGACAGAAACCTATGGAGGGGCGTCCAAGAGCGGGGTTTGCAAAGCCCGAGGCGTGCGCGCGGACTCCCTCCTCCCTCCTCCCTCCTCCTCCTCCTCCTCCTCCTCCTCCTCCTCCTCCTCCTCCTCCTAGACTCGACATTGCGAAGAGGTTCGATCCTAATCGCCGACTCGAACCGCGGGGGGCCAGAGCACCACCTGAGGTGCCTGGACCCCCCGACCGTGAAGAAGCCGCAGTCGACGTACTTCACTCGTGCACGACGGCCCACCCGCCGAAGTGCACCGCGATGTGCAGGGAGGGGGGGGGGACGGCGGGCCAGCGCGCAAGACGGCTGGGCCCTCACCGTCTCCCACGCGATCCCCTCCCTGCGCCGGAGCTGCGCCCCGCGCCCCGAGATCGCCTGCCGCCGGCGCTGACCACCTGAAAGGTGCCCTCCTCCGCGTCGCCGTACCCCTCGGAGTACTCGCGGAGCCAGTCCAGCGGCTGGTGGGCGTAGCAGTCGAAGTCGGCCGCACGGAAGCCCCGAGCGAGCCACGCGCCGCGCAGCGCCGCACGAGCCCGCCCCTCCGCGTCGGCCTCCACGACCGCAGCAGCACCAGCCGCCGAACCAGAAACGCCAGCGGTGGCCTCCGCTCCGCCCGACGCGCTCGCCGCACCAGCAGCGGACGGCGCGGGCTCCGCGGGGGCCGCACGAACGAGACCATCGGCCCACTCGTCGTCCATCGCGTCGTCGGAGGCGGCCGAGGCCGCCACGGCTACCAGTTCGAGCCCGCGGCCCGCGCCAGCAGCCCCAGCGGCCGCCGCGGCACCGACCGCCGCCGCAGCGGGGGGCGCCGCGTCCTCCGACGGGACAGCATTCGCCCTGGCGGCCGCGCGCCGCGCAGCGCGGCGCTGACGGCGGCGGCGCCGCCGCGCAGCCCGCACCGCGGGGTCAGCGCCGCCTCCAGGCCGAGCAGACGCCGCGGGCGCCGCGGGAGCCGCAGGCGGCTCCGTAGCACCCCCAGCGGCCTCCGCGGCAGGCTGGCGAGACTTGGACGCCTCCAGCTCCGCCACGGCCGCGCGGCACAAGCCCTCGGCGGTGCGCAGCAGGCGGCAAGCCGCTGCTGCGCCCCGCGCGAGGCCCGTGGCCGCGTGCGTCGCCAGCGCCGCGCCGCGCGCGGCAGCCAGCGCGTTCTGGCGCTCCCGCAGCCCAGGCGCCATGTGCTCCAGGGACCGCGGCGGGCACGAGCGGTTTGGGACCCCCCGGCGGGCGCGGCTCGCCGCGGCGCCCTTGGGCCACAGCGGGCCTTGAGCCAAAATGGCTTGAGCCAAAATGGCTACGGACCTCCTCCTCCTCCTCCTCCTCCTCCTCCTCCTCCTCCTCCTCCTCCTCCTCCTCCTCCTCCTCCTCCTCGGGGGGCGACCATAGGACGCATTGAGATAAGAAGGAAGGAGCCTTAACGATCCTTGGCGATCTCGTGGCCCCAATCATGATGTCGGTCCACCGCCCCTGGTCCCAAGCGTCCGGCGCTTCGACCTTTTCGAGACATGGGCCCCCGACCTCTCGACCATTGCCCGGGAGAGCCCTGAGTCGAATCGATAAGTCGGATCCTCGTTCGAGATGATATCGGCTCGGCGGAAATCGGCAGGCTAGTCAAGCACTCAATGAGAAATCAAAATCCCCAAATCCAAAATCGAATCGAATCGGAACCGGAAGGCACCGAAATCGAATCGAATCGGAAGAGTCGAAATCAGCCATGCCACCGGGTCCGGTGTCTCATCCCGAATCCTTTTTTCAACGGTCCCAGGGTCTGGGACCAGCCACCCCGAAAAAGCGAAAGACGAAAGAGCCAACCGTCTCGCTCTTGTCAGAGGCGCCTGATATCCGGGGCCCCCCCCCCCTCGCTTACGCGCGGGCGCTGGCAAGCGAGCGTGCAACATCGATCTCCGAAATGACTACCTGTCAGACCAACCCAATCCAACCCGAAGATCCGAATTTCGCCAAAATTTCGGGTTGGGGGGTGTAAGGGCTTCACATGTGTTTTTCAATTTTCCCCCACCCACCCTCCACTGGAAATGGAGGGCAGATCGAGGCCTTCGGGTTGGGTTGGGGTGGTTCGGTGGACGGTGACGAAAAGCACGCCATCCCTGTGAGGCGATCCCCACCGCGAGGGCCCCTGCCGACCCCCTGCCAGGGCTTCCTCGGTGCACGCTGCCCACCCCCAAGGTGGAGGGTAGCGTTAGCAAAACAAAAACCACACAAGCATAAACTGTTGGCGCTCCGCGCGGATTCCTTGGACTCGCGCTGGACCCCGCTCCCTGGCGCGCGGAGCGCGCCGAGGGCGGCGCCGGAGGCGCCGCCGGGGGGCCCAGGCGCGGATCCAAGAAATCCGCGCGGAGCGCCAAAAGTTTATGTTCATGGCGTTCTTGTTTGTTCTTTGTTGTTTCCTTCTTCATCTTATTCTTCTTCTCCTCCTCCTTCTTCTCCTTTTGGATAAGTTGCCTGTTCCTTCTTCTCCTCCTCCTTCTCCTCCTCCTTCTTCTCCTCCTTGTTGTTTGTTCTTCTTCTCCTCCTCCTTCTCCTTTTAGATGTTCGCGTGTTTTTTCTTCAAGCGTGCAAAATAAGGGGGCCAGCGGCGCCACGCCGCGCCCCAGGTACTGCCGCGCTGCCTCGGCCTGTGCCATGCGCGGCCCCATGGAAGCCTCGAGCCTGTTCTGATCAGACGAGCACGCTCCACTGCTCGCAAAAGTCACTGCTCGCAAAGGGCCTGGATCCGCCGCGGAGGACTTGCGGCCCGTTGCATACAGGAGGGCGTTTTTTTTGTCCCCCATATCCAAAGGATGGGGTTCTTGCGATTCCCCATATCCAAAGGATGGGGTTCTTGTTCCCCATATCCTAAGATGGGGTTCTTGTTATTACTTGGACGCCTCCTACTCCTTCCTCTTCTCCTCCTCCTCCTCCTCTTCCTCATCCTCCTCCTCATACCTAGACTTACTCATACACAGACTTACTCATACTCAGACCTGATCATATTAACTTACTCATACACAGACCTACTCATACTCAGACCTACTTATACTCAGACTTACTCATGCTGAGACTCACTCATACCCAACCTTACTCATACTCAGACCTTCTAATTGTCTGGCTTACTCAACACACAGCAGATTGTGAGGACGTCTCAGGCGGGATGCTGGTTTCAGCACCCTCAAGGGGAGCTGCCGAGGGGTATTGCACGGTCCCGTTCGCGGCCGTTTTGTGGGGATGTCTCTAGCGGTTTGCCTGTTTTCTGTCAACTTGTTTCGCTTGGAGAGCAGTCTGTGAGGATGTTTCAGGCGGGGCGCTGGTTTCAGCACCCCCAAGGGGAGCCGCCGAGGGGTATTGCACGGTCCCGTTCGCGGCCGGTTGTGGGGATGTCTCTAGCGGTTTGTTTGTTTTCCGTATCAACATCCTTCGCTTGGAGAGCAGATTGTGAGGATGTCTCAGGCGGGGCGCTGGTTTCAGCACCCCCAAGGGGAGCCGCCGAGGGCTATTTATTGCACGGTCCCGTTCGCGGCCGTTTCGTGGGGATGTCTCAAGCGGTTTGCCTGCATTCTGTCTCAACATCTTTCGCTTGGAGAGAAGATTGTGAGGATGTCTCAGGCGGGGCGCTGGTTTCAGCACCCCCAAGGGGAGCCGCCGAGGGCTATCTATTGCACGGTCCCGTTCGCGGCCGTTTTATGGGGATGTCTCTAGCGACTTGCCTGTTTTATGTCTCAACTTCTTTGGCTTGGAGGGCAGATTGTGAGGATGTCTCAGGCGGGACGCTGGTTTCAGCACCCCCAAGGGGAGCCGCCGAGGGGCATTGCACGGTCCCGTTCGCGGCCGTTTTGTGGGGATGCCTCTAGCGGTTTGCCTGTTTTCTGTCTCAACATCCTTCGCTTGGAGAGCAGTCTGTGAGGATGTCTCAGGCGGGGCGCTGGTTTCAGCACCCCCAAGGGGAGCCGCCGAGGGATATTGCACGGTCCCGTTCGCGGCCGGTTTGTGGGAATGTCTCAAGCGGTTTGTCTGTTTTCTGTTTCAACATCCTTCGGTTGGAGAGCAGATTGTGAGGATGTCTCAGGCGGGGCGCTGGTTTCAG